TAACAATTTTATAGTTTTCTAAAAGTTATCTTTACGCAGAACGCTTTGGCGTAAAAAAACTTGTCCTATTTTTTGAAAATGTTGCCACTGCGTCCTTCCGAATATGACCTATTTTTTATAAAAACTTCAACTTTGGGCGACATGTTCTAAAATCCCAAAGCTGGGATCGGAAAACTGAACGCAGTTTTGGAAACCTCAATATGTTTTCTATTTACTCCAAAAGTATTTTCCCAGCCCTGAAAGAAATGTGGACCCTATGGGCAAAAAAGTAAAAAATCCCACTTTTGGGATTTTCATTCCTATTTTTGGGAATTGCGGGATGCCCTTTGACCATTTCAATTTTTTTTTTTTTTTTTGCATTTTCTTATTTGAAATGACAAATTTAACAAGCATTGAAAATTTCATTGAGTTTTGTTCATAAATAAAGATTTTGTCATATATTACATATTTGTTTAATTTCTAAAACTATGATTTATATAAAAATTTTAATAGGGTCGCAGATAGCTACAACAATTTAGTCCATATTTAACCCTTAATATCATTTTTTAGTTGGATATGGAAATTCTCGACCCTTTACAAAAAATTTCAAGCCAATATCTCAATTACATTCAAAAATATGTTCATTTAAACCTATGTCCTTTAATTTCATCTTTTTCATATTTTAGTATTAAGTATGACAGAACATATTTAAATCTTATATTTACCTATTTTCTATTTGTTTGCTTATCCTTATAATTGAAAGGTCCTATTATGCTTAAATTTTAAAAAATGTATAACTATTTTTTACCTAAATTTTTCGTTTATGATCATAATTTCGATTCATTCACTAATAAGAAATATCAATGACTGAATTACAGGTTATATTAATATAGTCCTAAATGTTAATAGGTAGACAATTCGTAATTTTTTACTTTGGAATACCTGTATCGGAAATGACAAGAATTGGTATATAAGTAAACTTCTCAGATTTTAAGTACCATATTTAATAAATCTACAATGAAGATTACATTAAAGTATGAAGAGTTGTGTTCCGTTTTATGGAGTGTATCTTCAAAAGGGCCAGATAGAATTGAAGACATTTCAAATTATATAAAAACTACATATAGTAGAAAAGTAGACAAAACAGGCTTATCAAAAATTGAAAACTTTTTGATGAAAAAAGTAAGTCTGTGGATGGAAATCAAAAGAAATTTCGATTAAAATTTTGCAGTTGGATGGAAACTACTACGGAAATCTCAACTTACACCACATCAACAGGCAAGGCGCTCGCAAGTCATACGAAGACTTATGTTCAAGGTAAAAAAAGAGGGTCACACAAAAACTTTTTTCAATCTCAAATGAGGAAATTGCTGATACATTTAACGAAATGCTGAAAAAGGAAAACCAACCTATGGATGCCGTACATATTGCAACTATTCTTAGTAATGCATCACCAAAACGACTTAAGCGAATTGTGGAAAGTATACCAACTCCAACATCACAATCAAATTTTACTGAAGAGGAAGCAATAGCGCTTATGTTGGAACTGGGTCTCAGTCGAAATAAGTACCAAATATTAAGGAAAGCTCTGCATGAAAAAGGACACAATATATTACCATCATACAAGGCGATCCAGGAAAAAAAAACAAACTATCCTACCATCACCTATTGCTGTTAATGATGTGGAAGCTTGTATTGATATATCATCTTTGCTCGAAAACACAGCATCAAGAATTGTGTCAGACTTTTCAGAAGACCAACTAAGCAAAATTCATAACTGTGATGTTGTCTTAATGTGTAAGTGTGGATGTGACGGTTTATCAGCACTTCCAGAATACAAACAAGCTTGTGGAAGTCGGACATTAGCAGACTACAAAAGTGTATTTATGTCATCATTAGTGCCATTATGAATTCGTTCATATTCCCTTAATCCATCATCGTCAAGCATCGGAAATTCATTTGAAGATATATGGATCAATACAACTCCGGGTTCAAAAAATTTTTGTAGACCCATTGGATTTGAATATATAAAGGAGTCAAAGAAAACAACAAAAGATTTAGTGGAATATTTAAAAGATGAAATAAATGCACTGGAGCCCATTTGCATAAAAATAAAGGAATTCTCTATTAACGTATCATATCAGCTAAGCTTAACAATGATTGATGGAAAGGTCAGCAATGCCATAACAGAAACTTTTTCCTTCTGGAGATGCTCAATATGTAATGAGAAAAAGTCGCAATTCTCAAATATAAACAAAAGCAGAAGTATTAATGAAGAAGTCCTGTCTTTCGGAATTTCACCACTTCATGCCAGAATACGATTTTTGGATTACTTTTTACACATAGCATACGACCTCAAATATAGAAGTGTGCCAGAGAATCTTACTAAATCAACAAAAAATAATGAAGAATTGAAAGAACTGAGAGCTGCGGAAAAAAGCAGAATCCAAGAAGAATTTAAAGTTCAGATGGGATTAAACATCGACAAACCACTTCCAAGTTGCGGTAGTACAAATGATGGTAATACGGCGAGAAGGTTTTTTCGTGATTTTGAAATTAATTCAAAAATAACTGGAATCGACAAGGAGTTGCTTCGAAGAGTTAACACTATTTTAATGGCACTGAATAGTAAACATAAAATTAATGGAAATCGATTTGGGGAATATACATCTGAAATTTCTAAATTACTTGTATCTCTGTATCCATGGAGGGAACTAACACCAACAGTACACAAAGTATTGTGTCATGGTCAAATAATAATTGAATCGAATATTCTTCCACTTGGAGAGTTAACAGAAGAAGCCCAGGAAGCGAGGAATCGAAATTTTAAGCATGTTCAACTATTCAGCTCAAGAAAATGCTCCAGGCAATCACAGAATGAAGATATTTTTAATAGTTTACTTCTATCTTCTGATCCTGTTCTTTCAACTATGCGAAAAAGATGGATTTGTTATGAAACTCTATCATCTCAAAACAAGGAAGATTTAAAGGACTTATATTACCTTCTGGATATGTATACCGATATGACAGATTATTTTATAGAAAATAAGTAGTGTTAGGAATTAACTATATAAGTAGGTTGTAAGAATTAATTGTATTATGTTTAAGATAAACAGTTCAAATAAAAAAAGCTATTATACTAACTGATGATATTGTATTAAATTGTGTTTTATATTTCGGTGGGCGGGAAAGGTGGTTTGTGTGGGGTGATTTAGGTGTTGTTGTGCGTGGCTCATAATAAAATTATAATTTTTTTATTGTATATACAATGTTATAGTCTTTAATAAAATAATTAACTAAATAATTTTTAAAAATTGTCCAAATATTTTATTCAACACCAAATGTATGTTCTGTCATACTTAATACTAAAATATGAAAGAGATGAAATTGAAGGACACAGGTTTAAATGAACATATTCTTGAATGTAATTGAGATATTGGCTTGAAATTTTTTGTAAAGCGTCGAGAATTTCCATATCTAACTAAAAAATGATATTAAGGGATAAATATGGACTAAATTGTTGTAGCTATCTGCGACCCTATTAAAATTTTGATATAAATCATAGTTTTAGAAATTTAACAAATATGTAATATATGACAAAATCTTTATTTATGAACAAAACTCAATGAAATTTTTCAAATAAGAAAATGCAAAAAAAAAAATTGAAAAGGTCAAAGGGCATCCCGCAATTCCCAAAAATAGGAATGAAAATCCCAAAAATGGGATTTTTACTTTTTTGCCCATAGGGTCCACATTTCTTTCAGGGCTGGGAAAATACTTTTGGAGTAAATAGAAAACATATTGAGGTTTCCAAAACTGCTTTCAGTTTTCTGATCCCAGCTTTGGGATTTTAGAACATGTCGCCCAAAGTTGAAGTTTTGATAAAAAATAGGTCATATTCGGAAGGACGCAGTGGCAACATTTTCAAAAAATAGGACAAGTTTTTTACGCCAAAGCGTTCTGCGTAAATATACCTTTTAGAAAACTATAAAATTGTTATATGTTCTTAAAGAAAATTTTATTTTATTAATAAAAGAGTTAAGACACATTTTTGGCAAAAAAACGGCAAGAATTTTAAATTAAAAAACGTATATTTTTGGATCTGTAAATGATTTTGATCTGAAATCTTTTGTATATTATTGGAAATTTTGTTGTCTAACTAACAAGAAAAATTGAGTCCATTTGGTCCAAAATTACGCCTGGTATTCAAAAAAAGGCGGACCAAGGTATGGTAAATTTTGTATCACTAAATTTTTAAATGCCTATAACTCGGATATTATAAGAGATAAGTAGTATGTCCAAGCATGTTTTTTCAAGATCTCGTCGAGCGCTTTCACAAAATATAAAAATCTTTGTATTTGGGTGAAAAACAAAAAAATGGCACGAGTTTAAAAATTTTACATGTCGTAGGTACCCTACTTTGAGCCGCCACAGCGCCGTCCCTGGGGCATCTGCAGGGTTCATCTTCAAAACTTAAACTCGAATACTCCTTGGCTACGCTCACGCCAAATTTTATCCCGATCGGATCAGCCGTTTAGAAATGCCAGATTTATTTCCAAAAAATTTCCATTCTGCCCCACTGTGCGGTGTTATATAAATTGTAGATATACCGATTTTTGTAGAAATACTAGTATATTTAAAGAAATTATGAGCTCAAAATAATTATTTAGGGGTCCGATTGTATGGGACCTAAGAGAAATAATGGAATGATTTTATTTAGTAATTCATAATATTTCGCAAAATTGAATTTTTCAACTAAATATTATAATATTTTAAAGATTTTCAAACATTTCGGTTAACCGGTTTTTTTACATATATACTCGGTTAACCGATAAACCGGTTTTCTACAAATTGTAAATTTTCGGTTAACCGAAAAACCGGTTTTTCCAAAAGTCGGTTTTTTTTTGTTTTCGCTCAAGATTATCTCATTTTAATAAAGGTTTATTTATATTTTTAATCGCCATTGTGGCTATATCAAAGTATTTACCTAGTATAATATAAAAAATTGTTTTCTTTTTTAGATACAAGATGCTATGGGTTCAAGCTGGGAATGGATTTATTTCGTTTCTATGGTGATATTAGGTGCATTTTTCGTCATGAATCTAATTCTTGGTGTGTTGTCTGGTGAATTTTCTAAGGAACGTACTAAAGCCAAAAATCGTGGCGATTTTCAAAAGCTACGAGAAAAGCAACAAATTGAAGATGATCTGCGTGGTTATTTAGACTGGATAACGCAGGCTGAAGATATTGAACCCGATACCGATGGTCAATTAATATCAGATGGAAAAACTAAAACCGCAAATGAAATGGAATCACCAAATCAGTTGGGAGAACACGATCATGGATATGAAACACAACAGACTGAGTCATGGTTTCGTAAGAAGAAGAAAGATTTGGATCGCGTAAACCGCCGCCTTAGAAGATCGTGTCGAAAGGCAGTTAAATCTCAAGCATTTTATTGGTTAATTATAGTTTTGGTATTTTTAAATACGGGAGTACTGGCAACAGAGCACTATAAACAGCCCTCCTGGCTAGATCAATTTCAAGGTATGAAAAATTTAATAAAAAAAATTAACTTAAAGTATTGCTCAAAATTATGCCACTACCACTAGTGTTGCCAACAATGGTCAAGCAAAACGAGCGCGAAAAAACGTTTTCTTTAGTAAAATAATGTTTATTTCAATAAAAATTGCACATCATATTGCTCATTTATTACAAGACTGGCATATACTCCAAACTTCTTTTTTTTTTTTTTTGAACTAAGGGCTACAAAACATGCTTCATACTATATAGATTTATCAAAATTATATGTCTATTATTTTCGGTTAGTTAGATTTTTAGATATAAAAGTAGAAACTAAAACTAATGTTTTGACGGATATTAGATACATAAATAAAAATTAAATTTCAATTTAGATGAGAAACATATTAACCTACACTATCTGAATCTGATTTACTTTTTCAAATCCCTCGTGATACAACCATTAAAAGGTAGACTCAGTAGGGAAAGTCGTCAATTTTCTTTCTTATTATATCAAATAAAAAAGAACTGAAAAGAAAAGATTTTCAATGATTTTGCGTTCTATGTTATTTTAAAAATAGTAAAATGTCATTAAACATGATACAGCCTATCACACCACACTACCAACTGACCTACCGATGCATCCACACCCAAATTGAAAACTGTACAAAACTTTTGAAATATTATTTTTTTTTTTTGCTAAATCTATATATCTTTAAACAAAACCATTTCAAACCAGTCAAAATTTACTGTTCATCTCTGTATAAAAAAAAACAAATACATATTAAAATTTTTCAAGTTCTTGAAAAATGTTTAATTTCACTGATCTTAGTGAGTAATATACATAGCTTTTTTTTAACGTATATTGAACAACAGTGTCCCATTTCCGTCAAAGAGTTATTTATGTTAGGTTTCTAAAATTTAAAACAGTGTTTTAAATTTTAGTATGGACTATTAAACTGATCCAACAAAAAGTTGTACACATAAAAACCACTTCAAACCAGTCAAAATTTACTGTTCATCTCTGTATAAAAAAAAAAAAAAAACAAATACATATTAAAATTTTTCAAGTTCTTGAAAAATGTTTAATTTCACTGATCTTAGTGAGTAATATACATAGCTTTTTTTAACGTATATTGAACAACAGTGTCCCATTTCCGTCAAAGAGTTATGTATGTATGTTAGGTTTCTAAAATTTAAAACAGTGTTTTAAATTTTAGTATGGACTATTAAACTGATCCAACAAAAAGTTGTACACATAAAGTGATGAAAAAATTATTATTAACCTTATAGAGAAAATGTTAAAAATTAATTAACTTAATTAATTCCTGAAAATCACAAAATAAGATTTAAAATATTATAACAAGCACTAAATGCACTGTCATAAAATTAGAAAAGCACCTCAATAGTGCCTTTTTGAAAAAGGGCACCATGAGAAAAATTCACCGCGTTTGGCACATCAAAAAGCTCCGCATTTAGTGCTAAAAGCACTAAGTTGGCAACACTGACTACCACATTTAATTTTTGATCATTCAGAGGGGGTAATAAATAGAAACACTCTTTTTATATTTTATTTTCAAACGTTATAAAACATATAGATTTTTGTACCCGGCTTTGCCCGGAGTTTTAAATGGTTTCAAAACATTATACATACTTAAGTATTCTTCCGTTAGAGTAAACTAAAAAATCTGCTATGTGTCCATAGATCAATTTATGCACATTGTCAGAGAATTTTCGCTCTGAAATTTTTTAACGTTCATTAAAAAATTCAAAATTATAACTCTATTACTATCTACCCAGCAAAAAATCAGAAATTTTTGGTAATGGCCAGTAGTTATTTTACATTATTTGGTCATGACTGTTCATTATCATCCACATTATTTCATTTAGCTGAATAGATTATTACTGGTAAAGGCAATAGGGCATCGAGGAATTTTTATACCCTACACCACTTTAGTGGGGAGGGTATATTGGGTTTGTGCTGATGTTTGTAACGCACAATAATATTGGTCCTATACCCACCTTAAAGTATACCAATAATTTTCTGAGTCGATTTAGCTATGTCCGTCCGTCTGTCCGTCCATGTAAATGTTGTAATCAAACTACAGGTCGCAATTTGGTACATGATCTTCTATTGACGAAGCCTATTGAAAATGGTTAAGATCGGTCCATTATTTCACCTAGCCCCCACACAACTGAACCCCTGAATAGGGCTTGTAAACCTTGTAATCAAACTACAGGTCGCAATTTTGATGATAATTCAATGAAATTTGGCGCATGATCTTCTACAGTACCGAAGATAAAGCCTTTTGAAAATGGTTAACATCGGTCCATTATTTCACCTAGGCCCCATACAACTGAACCCCTGAATAGGGCTTGTAAACGTTGTAATCAAACTACAGGTCGCAATTTTGATGATAATTCAATGAAATTTGGCACATGATCTATGGCACCGGAGACAAAGCCTATTGAAAATGGTTAAAATCGGTCCATTATTTCACCTAGCCTCCATACAACAGAATCACGAAAAGGGCTTCTGAGCTTATAATTATGTTAAATATACCTGTATAGCGATAAAAAGCGGCTTGCCAAATTTCATAAAGATCGGGCCTCATTACTTGGATGTCCAAAATTAACTTATAAACACAAATATCGCGATGAAATTCAGCACAAATAAATATTATATAAATATACTCACAAAATTTTATCGGTCTAGGTCCATATTTGCCCCAAGCCCCCACATAAAGCATCTTTCAGAAAATTAGTTTTGAACCTCGTCGAACAAAATAATTAGTTATTCACCCCAAGATTAATTAGTTTCCACGTGATTCCAATATTACTTTCTAGCTTACTAGGTAATGAAAGTGTTTGCTGGGTAGTTAGCTAAAACTAAAATATACATTTCAACTTAGGAGAAAGAATAATTCTTGACTTAAATCATAAAGTGCTAAGTTTTCTTCTTTATGTTTCAAGAAATGTAGAAGGTCTCCTTATGAAGAACTTGTTATTTAATTGTTTGTGATCATATAAAGCGTACCCGGCGTTGCCCTGGTTTCTTCTAAAAGTAAAGAGAATATTTTTCTATCTGTAACGACTACACCTTTTGCAATAGATGTCAAAATTTAGTTTATAACGATAAAATAGTTATTATATTTTTCTGCATTTTGTTTAATACTTAGAGTCAGTTTCTGGACCAAAATGTCCCTTAATAATTTACAAATTGAAAATTAACTTTAATTAGAAAATTTTGACTAATTTTTAGAAACATTTAGGGAACTTTTTTTGAGAAATTAAACTGAAATCATCATTCTCAATCACTGGTAGGGAACTAAGGACACTTTCAAATTAGTTGTTCTATTTTTCCCATGTGCAGTAGATTTAAAGAACTCTTCAGTTTAAATTCGGTCACACTGTACTTTTAATTGTAGTGGCCCTGGTGTATAGAGGCAAAAGGCTTTAATTTCGGAATTTGTAATTGGAAAATATGTGCTGGAGTTATGAAAAAAGTTGTGCAGAATTTTTGGTGGATAATTTTCTAAAAGTATAAAAAATATCGAAAGATCAAGTTATCCAAATTTTATATGAACAATGCTTTCTATGCATCGTTTGAGAGGTCTACCTATATAAGATTTGCAAAAGTGCTGTCTTTCGGGACACTCTAATGAGTAGTCAAATTCACATCTTCATGGTTTTTTAGATTTGGGCTGCATTTAAAAATGGCAACCAAATTTATATCAAGATAATTTGTTGATGGCATATTTACCTGATCATAAATTTCTATTATTATCTCGATTAACCATAAATTTAAATTTTATATTTTTGATATAAAACTCGATTTGTATGAAAAATATGAGTGATTACGGATCTTTATTGTTTTCTCAAATTGAGAGTTATTTAAAGTAAATTTTTAAAGAGTTATATAAATAGAAATCCCTTATGGGAGATATGAATGATTTTCTAGATATATTTAGGTGTTATAAAAGGAACCACAGCCGATTTAAAATTCGACTTTTAGTGAAAATGTAATATGAATATATTATTTTCCCTATTTTAGCGGTTTTCGTTCAATAGTTTTTATTTTGCATACAAATGTAGCATCGTAGACATTCATTCAAGATCTAATAAAGATTCTGTTTTAAAATAGTTATTTTCTGAAAATATACAGCAGATTACAGGTTTCAAATTAAAAACAGTTTTTTGGGGCAAAACGCTTTACATGAAAATCAATTTTTGATAATAAACGAACTTGAATACAGATTTTAATTTTACCTAATCGTAAAGTTATTTAAGGATCTACAAACATGTATAAAAACATATATAAAAATTAATTTTTGGATTAAAAATTTAACTAAATAATAATTCTCATATACTATGAGAATTATATATCATGATCTTTAGCATTATTAATGTAACAAAAAGTGGAGGGAAAAAGGTTATTGCATTTCATTAAGATCACAACAGGCCCGAAATAAGTGCTATAGGTGTATTTATTCGGATTTGGTGTATTAAACATTCTCTTCCTCAAACTAACCGAACCTTCCAGGATACTATTATCACGCAAAATTTCATGAAGCATAAAATCCAGATCAAAAAGTTGATTCCAAATTCTGCTGCCAAATTTCTGGAAAATCGGTTCATGTTTTTTTATATTTAGCCTAGTAATTTGGTGTTATAGCTGTTATTCAAAAAGTGAACATAAAAATGTACGTAGCATCCAATCGATATCGTATAGAGTTTTTTTAACTTCTGAGGTTAGACCTCCTAAATGCCAAATTTTATGTAAATAAGTTTATTAGTTATGTAGTAAAAGAGTAAAAAAGAGTCTCAAATATATTTATTATTATACATTATAGGTTTTGATCATGTAATGTGTCGTACTGTTCATTCCACAACATTCATTATAACAGATTTCATGAAAATCGGATTAGGAGTTTTTTGTGTGCATGAACGTAAATTTGGTTTAATAATTGTTTTAGAAAAAGTTGCTGTAAAGAGGGGCGTGGCGTCCGATCCAGATCATGAGATCA